CTATGGTCAGCAGCAACGAATAACAGTCAGTGATTTACACAGACGGTTGGTAGTGAGTCATCTACTGGTAACGGGTTACTGGTAACTGGTACTACTGAGAGAGATTGACATACTGACCCAGTACTCACCCACTGACCTAGTACTAGCCTACTGATCCAGTACTCTCCTACTGACCCGGTACTCACCCACTGACCCAGTACTCGCCTATTGACTCAGTATTCACCTACTGACCCAGTACTCACCTTGTGGTGAAAAATCTCCAGTTTATGAAGGGGGCGATATCCCCCCTCATGAAGGTGGATAATGACCCTCTCCAAAGAGGCTAGCCCTCTCAAAAGGGCTTGTGAACCATCTTGCTTTCTCCCTTCTACAGCAGAATTATCAAAACCATATGTTGGGTGAGGCGTCACAAGGCATGTCTCTTTACCAGACTTCCTGCCCACTTGTACATACGAGTGGAAATCTATGGAAGATGCTAATTCCCCATAGAAGGAAAAATTTGTCAAAAACTGTGCCCCATTTGATCTACACGCTAGGGTATTATAGCTCACTATACCCACCTAGAACCCTAAGAAACAAGGATTCTAGGATGAAGTCTGTTGCTAAAGCTAGCAGTAAATGTCTATGAAACTGAAGTCAGCATTTCCTTTGTGGGATGCGGTTTCGCGGTGGCCAAAAGGACAGATTACTTCAACGAATGAATGGGAATGCGCGACAGAGGGCATCGCTGCTCTCCCGCTAAAGTACAAAGGAACAGTGGCCATGCATTCGAGACTTGATCTGACAATCTCAGGAAAATAGGAAAGTTGACTGGTTTCCCCTCATACGAGTCAGGAAATTCGAGGTAGAACTAATCACGAAGTGTTTATTAGCATCTCCGTGTCTCTTTCTCCAGCGAACATTGGGAGTGATGAAGCAAAATACAGAGTTATTTAACTTTCTCCCTGTTGTGAATAATCCCACGAAACTCATACCTGGAGTTTACCTGGAGAGAGTTTCGGGGGTCAACGCCCCCGCGGCCCGGTCTGTGACCAGGCCTCCTGGTGGATCAGCCCCTGATCAACCAGGCTGTTGCTGCTGGCTGCACGCAAACCAACGTACGAGCCACAGCCCGGCTGATCAGGAACTGACTTTAGGTGCTTGTCCAGTGCCAGCTTGAAGACTGCCAGGGGTCTGTTGGTAATCCCCTTTATGTGTGCTGGGAGGCAGTTGAACAGTCTCGGGCCCCCTGACACTTATTGTATGGTCTCTTAACGTGCTAGTGACACCCCTGCTTTTCATTGGGGGGATGTTGCATCGTCTGCCAAGTCTTTTGCTTTCGTAGTGAGTGATTTTCGTGTGCAAGTTCGGTACTAGTCCCTCTAGGATTTTCCAGGTGTATATAATCATGTATCTCTCCCTCCTGCGTTCCAGGGAATACAGGTTTAGAAACCTCAAGCGCTCCCAGTAATTGAGGTGTTTTATCTCCGTTATGCGCGCCGTGAAAATTCTCTGTACATTTTCTATGTCGGCAATTTCACCTGCCTTGAAAGGTGCTGTTAGAGTGCAGCAATATTCCAGCCTAGATAGAACAAGTGACCTGAAGAGTGTCATCATGGGCTTGGCCTCCCTAGTTTTGAAGGTTCTCATTATCCATCCTGTCATTTTTCTAGCAGCTGCGATTGATACAATGTTATGGTCCTTGAAGGTGAGATCCTCCGACATAATCACTCCCAGGTCTTTGACGTTGGTGTTTCGCTCTATTTTGTGGCCAGAATTTGTTTTGTACTCTGATGAATATTTAATTTCCTCATGTTTACCATATCTGAGTAATTGAAATTTCTCATCGTTGAACTTCATATTGTTTTCCGCAGCCCACTGAAAGATTTGGTTGATGTCCGCCTGGAGCCTTGCAGTGTCTGCAATGGAAGACACTGTCATGCAGATTCGGGTGTCATCTGCAAAGGAAGACACGGTGCTGTGGCTGACATCCTTGTCTATGTCGGATATGAGGATGAGGGACAAGATGGGAGCTAGTACTGTGCCTTGTGGAACAGAGCTTTTCACCGTAGCTGCCTCGGACTTTACTCTGTTGACGACTACTCTCTGTGTTCTGTTAGTGAGGAAATTATAGATCCATCGACCGACTTTTCCTGTTATTCCTTTAGCGCGCATTTTGTGCGCTATTACGCCATGGTCACACTTGTCGAAGGCTTTTGCAAAGTCTGTATATATTACATCTGCATTCTTTTTGTCTTCTAGTGCATTTAGGACCTTGTCGTAGTGATCCAATAGTTGAGACAGACAGGAGCGACCTGTTCTAAACCCATGTTGCCCTGGGTTGTGTAACTGATGGGTTTCTAGATGGGTGGTGATCTTGCTTCTTAGGACCCTTTCAAAGATTTTTATGATATGGGATGTTAGTGCTATTGGTCTGTAGTTCTTTGCTGTTGCTTTACGGCCCCCTTTGTGGAGTGATAGTGAGTAACAATTATTGTAACCGGTGTGACTGGGCAATAACATTTCCGAACTGCTGTGACGAACACTAGTGCAACATTCCCCGAGTGACACTTGTTCATTCCACTATCAAGACACTAATAACGGACTCGTGTCACTTCAACGACGCAGAACTCCAGCTACAAAGAGTCAGGCAGGTTTTTATTCCCCTTTCATTTTCCCCTTTAAAACACTGCAGTGCTTAGGCTAATGTTAGAAAGAATATTTCTCACCTTAGAGACTGTCATTAGAATTCCAACACCAAAACCCACGTGAGTAGATTTAGATTTTGCCACCGAAGTGACTAGTTTATTGTGCATCCCATATCCATCCTGTGGACGGTAGCGCAAGATTATATGGATACACAAAAGGTCTAATCATCATAATCCAAGTATTTTGACATACTGGAATACATACCATGGGTCAGAGTTAACCCAGATTACTCGCTATCCACAGCCGCTGTGAACACGACTGCAGCAACATCGAAGGCGATTCCAGGGAGAGGCTGCTGGAAACAGTACTGTTTAAAGTTATCATGTTTTTATCGTCATGCAGGAAAGTGTACTTATCTGAGATGCTCCTCCACACACTGACCCAGTACTCACCGACTGACCCAGTACACATCTACTGACCCAGTATTCATCTACTGACCCAGTACTAGTCTACTGACCCAGTATTCATCTACTGACCCAGTACTCGTCTACTGACCCAGTATTCATCTACGACCCAGTACTTGCCTACTGACCCAGTACTCGTCTACTGACCCAGTACTCACCTACTGACCCAGTACTCACCTACTGACCCAGTACTCACCTACTGACCCAGTACTCACCTACGACCCAGTACTTGCCTACTGACCCAGTACTCGTCTACTGACCCAGTACTCGTTTACTGACCCAGTATTCATCTACTGACCCAGTACTCGTCTACTGACCCAGTATTCATCTACGACCCAGTACTTGCCTAGTGACCCAGTACTCGTCTACTGACCCAGTACTCACCTGTTGACCCAGTACTCACCTACTGACCCAGTACTCACCTACTGACCCAGTACTCACCTACTGACCCAGTACTCGCCTACTGACCCAGTACTCACCTACTGACCCAGTACTCGCCTACTGACCCAGTACTCACCTACTGACCCAGTACTCGCCTACTGACCCAGTACTCACCTACTGACCCAGTACTCACCTACTGACCCAGTACTCGCCTACTGACCCAGTACTCGCCTACTGACCCAGTACTCACCTACTGACCCAGTACTCGCCTACTGACCCAGTACTCACCTACTGACCCAGTACTCACCTGACCCAGTACTCACCTACTGACCCAGTACTCACCAACTGACCCTGTAGTGGGGATTTTAATTCCCACATATTAGAATAACCAAGAGACAGGGTAGTAACCCTCTTGCCTAGGCTAGTTGCTACACCTAATACGCGCCACCCCCAGTAATCACCACACCCAGTATCCACTCAGTACTCACCACATCCAGTACTCACCACACCCAGTACCCACCACACCAATCGACTAAGACCCAAGTACCCACTTTATTGATGGGTGAACATAGACAACCGGTGTAAGGAAACACCGTGTGAAGCGAGAGCTTTTGCCACCAAGCCTCGGACCCATTATGTACCTCTGTAATCTTTTGACTACCGCCCACTGGATGGGTATGGGGTGCATAATAAACATATTAAACTAACTTAAACTAACCACCATACTCAGTACTCACCACACCCAGTACTTACCTCCTGACTCGCTCCACGTTCTCGTTAATCTTGGTACCTTTCACACCCATGGAAGCAGCGTCCTCAGGGTTAGCGAACGCCTGTACAGAGTACAAGACTGTCAAAATATAGATGTACAGAGTACAAGATTGTAGAGAGAGAGAGAGAGAGAGAGAGAGAGAGAAGAGAGAGAGAGAGAGAGAGAGAGAGAAAGCAGCAACTTCACTCTGGCTGTACCCTTCTCCAGAACATCACTCCATCTGAGATCATACATACCCAGGATGACTAGAGTATGGAACACATTCGTACATCATTATGATGTCAACGAGATAAAGTCAGTTGATCAAATGAAAATGCTGGCCCACAGATGGCTCCAACTTCATCCTGTTCCCTACTTGTATGTCTCATAACAATAAAAATGCTTTCAAATGAGCTGATGTAGGTAACAGCTCTTAGCTTGCCAATAAAGTTAGGAACCCTTAACCTGTAAATAGCTTGTCAATAAAGCTAGGGATCCTTAACCTAACCTTGTCAAACCCTGTGTTAAAAAAAAAAAAAAAAAAGAGAGAGAAATTAGGTGGTAGAGGTCAGGACGTCCAGGAAGCAGCAACTTCACTTAATAACGTTCTCCAGAACATCACTACATCATTTATTCCCAGGATGACTTGAGTCTGGAACATGTTCGTACAGCATAATATCAACTAAATAAAGTCAGTTGATCACACGAGACGGCTGGCCCACACATGGCTCCAACTTCATCCTGTTCCATATTTGTACGGATTATAACAACAATAAGATTTTCAAAAAAGCTGACGTCAGTAACAGCTCCTAAGCTTGAAATTAAAATAAGGAATCCTTACCCAAACATTGTAAAAATCTGTGCATAAAAAAGAGGGGGGGGGATGAGAGTTTACGACTATACATCAGAATAAAATAGGTGGAAGGATGGTGACTTTGTGGGTGGAAGGATGGTGACTGTGAGTGGAAGGATGGTGACTTTGTGGGTGGAAAAATAGTGACTTTGTGGGTGGAAGGATAGTGACTTTGTGGGTGGAAGGATAGTGACTTTGTGGGTGGAAGGATGGCGACTTTGTGAGTGGAAGGATGGTGACTTTGTGGGTGGAAGGATAGTGACTTTGTGGGTGGAAGGATAGTGACTTTGTGGGTGGAAGGATAGTGACTTTGTGGGTGGAAGGATGGTGACTTTGTGGGTGGAAGGATGGTGACTTGTTGGGTGGAAGGATGGTGACTTTGTGGAAGGATAGTGACTTTGTGGGTGGAAGGATAGTGACTTTGTGGGTGGAAGAGATGGTGACTTTGTGGGTGGAAGGATGGTGACTTTGAGGGGGAAGGATGGTGACTTTGTGGGTGGAAGGATGGTGACTTTGTGGGTGGGGTGGTGACTGTGAGTGGAAGGTGGTGACTTTGTGGGTGGAAAAATAGTGACTTTGTGGGTGGAAGGATAGGACTTTGTGGGTGGAAGGATAGTGACTTTGTGGGTGGAAGGATGGTGACTTTGTGGTGGAAGGATGGCGACTTGTGAGTGGAAGGATGGTGACTTTGTGGGTGGAAGGATAGTGACTTTGTGGGTGGAAGGATAGTGACTTTGTGGGTGGAAGGATAGTGACTTTGTGGGTGGAAGGATGGTGACTTTGTGGGTGGAAGGATAGTGACTTTGTGGGTGGAAGGATGGTGACTTTGTGGGTGGAACGATGGTGACTTTGTGGTGGAAGGATGGTGACTTTGTGGGTGGAAGGATGGTGACTTTGTGGGTGGAAGGATGGTGACTGAGTGGAAGGATGGTGACTTTGTGGGTGGAAAAATAGTGACTTTGTGGGTGGAAGGATAGTGACTTTGTGGGTGGAAGGATGGGTGACTTTGTGGGTGGAAGGATGTGACTTTGTGGGTGGAAGGATGGTGACTTTGTGGGTGGAAGATGGAGACTTTGTGGGTGGAAGGATGGTGACTTTGTGGGTGGAAGGATAGTGACTTTGTGGGTGGAAGGATGAGTGACTTTGTGGGTGGAAGAGATGGTGACTTTGTGGGTGGAAGGATGGTGACTTGTGGGTGGAGGATGGTGACTTTGTGGGTGGAAGGATAGTGACTTTGTGGGTGAAGGATAGTGACTTTGTGGGTGGAAGGATGGTGACTTTGTGGGTGGAAGGATGGTGACTTTGTGGGTGGAAGGATGGTGACTTTGTGGGTGGAAGGATAGTGACTTTGTGGGTGGAAGGATGGTGACTTTGTGGGTGGAAGGATAGTGACTTTGTGGGTGGAAGGATGGTGACTTTGTGGTGGAAGGATAGTGACTTTGTGGGTGGAAGGATGGTGACTTTGTGGGTGGAAGGATAGTGACTTTGTGGGTGGAAGGATAGTGACTTTGTGGGTGGAAGGATAGTGACTTTGTGGGTGGAAGGATGGTGACTTTGTGGGTGGAAGGATGGTGACTTTGTGGGTGGAAGGATGGTGACTTTGTGGGTGGAAGGATGGTGACTTTGTGGGTGGAAGGATGGTGACTTTGTGGGTGGAAGGATGGTGACTTTGTGGGTGGAAGGATGGTGACTTTGTGGGTGGAAGGATGTGACTTTGTGGGGGGAAGGATGGTGACTTGTGGGTGGAAGGATGGTGACTTTGTGGGTGGAAGGATGGTGACTTGTGGGTGGAAGGATGTGACTTTGTGGTGGAAAGATGGTGATTTGTGGATGGAAGGATGGTGACTTTGTGGATGGAAGGATGGTGACTTTGTGGGTGAAGGACGGTGACTTTGTGGGTGGAAGGATGGTGACTTGTGGGTGAAGGATGGTGACTTGTGGGTGAAGGATGGTGACTTTGTGGGTGGAAGGATGGTGACTTTGTGGTGGAAGGATGGTGACTTTGTGGGTGGAAGGATGGTGACTTGTGGGTGGAAGGATGGTGACTTTGTGGGTGGAAGGATGGTGACCTTTGTGGATGGAAGGATGGTGACTTTGTGGGTGGAAGATGGTGACTTTGTGGGTGGAAGGATGGTGACTTTGTGGGTGGAAGGATAGTGACTTTGTGGTGGAAGGATAGTGACTTTGTGGGTGGAAGGATGGTGACTTGTGGGTGGAAGGATGGTGACTTTGTGGGTGGAAGGATGGTGACTTGTGGTGGAAGGATGTTGACTTTGTGGGTGGAATGATGGTGACTTTGTGGGAGGAAGGATAGTGACTTTGTGGGTGGAAGGATAGTGGCCTTGTGGGTGGAAGGATGGTGACTTTGTGGGTGGAAGGATAGTGGCCTTGTGGGTGGAAGGATGGTGACTTTGTGGGTGGAAGGATAGTGGCCTTGTGGGTGGAAGGATAGTGACTTTGTGGGTGGAAGGATAGTGACTTTGTGGGTGGAAGGATAGTGACTTTGTGGGTGGAAGGATAGTGGCCTTGTGGGTGGAAGGATGGTGACTTTGTGGGTGGAAGGATAGTGACTTTGTGGGTGGAAGGATAGTGACTTTGTGGGTGGAAGGATAGTGGCCTTGTGGGGAAGGATAGTGACTTTGTGGGTGGAAGATAGTGACTTTGTGGGTGGAAGGATAGTGACTTTGGTGGTGAAGGATGGTGACTTTGTGGGTGGAAGGATGGTGACTTTGTGGGTGGAAGGATAGTGAATTTTTGGTGGAAGGAGGTGACTTGTGGGTGAAGGATAGTGACTTTTGGGTGGAAGAATAGTGACTTTGTGGTGGAGGCATAGTGACTTTGTGAGTGGAAGGATGGTGACTTTGTGGTGGAAGGATGGTGACTTTGTGGGTGGAAGGATGTGGCCTTGTGGGTGGAAGGATGGTGACTTTGTGGGTGGAAGGATGGTGACTTTGTGGTGGAAGGATGGTGACTTTGTGGGTGAAGGATGGTGACTTTGTGGTGGAAGGATAGTGACTTTGTGAGTGGAAGGATAGTGACTCTTGTGGTGGAAGGATGGTGACTTTGTGGGTGGAGGCATGTGACTTTGTGAGTGGAAGGATGGTGACTTTGTGGTGAATGGATCGTGACCTTGTGGGTGAGGATAGATGACCTTGTGGATGGAGGGGATAATGACTGTGGAGGAGGGATAGTGACCTTGTGGGTTGAGGGATAGTGGCCATGTGGGGTATAGAGAGATACCTTGCGGTTACGCGAAGTATCCTGTGATAGGTCCCATGATAAGCATCTTGCAGCTAGCATGTGACCAGAATACATAGCTGGTGAAGACAGGGTTATCTAGCGTCCACCCCGCATCTTGAACTACTGCTGCAGTCTAGTGATGCTCAGTCTTCTGCTCTCCTACACTTCTTCTTTTATTTCGAACCGTATACCATGTACTATAAAAATGTAAAATAACGAATTAAAATGTTACAAACATAGAGGGACATTATTAGAGATTCTTCTCGCAGGCAAGTGATCATTACCAATGTTGCTGCTTCAGTACCCTCTCCCTACTCTCTCTCCCCCACTACAATCAGTCCTTTTCCAATACTCCTCCCTCCCACTACAATCATCCCCCCTCCATACTCTCTCTCCCCCACTACAAACCCGTCCTCTCCCTATCTCTCCCCCTCCCCTACAATCGCCCCCTCCACTACTTTTCTCTCCCCCACTACAAAACATCCTCCCACTACTCTCTCTCCCCCCCACTACAATCGTCCTTTCCACTTTCTCTTTTCCCCCCACTACAATCAGTCCCCCCCTAAATCTCTCCCCCCTCCACTACAATCAAATCCCTCCACTACTCTCTCTCCCCCACTCAATCAGTCCCTCTCCCCTACCTTTTTTCCTCCACTTAAATCAAATCCCCCTCCCCAAATTTTCTTCCTCCCCTACAATCAGCCTTCCCCTACTCTCTCTCCCCCCACTACAAAACAGTCCTCTCCCCTACTCCTCTCCTCCCAAATACAATCAGTCCTTTTCCCCCTACTCTCCCCTCCTCCCCTACAAACAGTCCTCTCCACTTTTCTCTCTCTCCTCCATAAAAATTATTTCCCCTCCACTACCCCCTCTCTTCCCCCACTAAACCCAGTTTCCCCCCTCCACTACTCTATCTCCCCAATACAATCGTCCCCTCCCCTACCCCACTCCCCCACTACAATCATTTCCCCTCCAATACTTAAACTCCTCCACCCCTATCGTCCTTTTCCCCTACTCTAAACCCCCCTCCCCTACAATCACCTTCACAACCCCTCTCCTCCCCTACAAAAAAGTCCTCCCAAATAATCTGCCCTTTCCCAAAAATCATCCTCTCCACTACTTCTCCTCCCCTACAACGTCCCCTCCCACTCTCACCTCCCCTTCAATCAGTCCCCTCCAAAACCCTCTTCCACTACAATTTGTGCTCTCCCTACTCTCTCCCTTTCCCCTACAATCAGTCCTTCCCCTACCTCTCTTCCATACAATCAGTCCTTTTCCCCTACTCTCTTCCACCCGCAATCAGTCCTCTCCAATACTCTCTCCCCCCACTACAATCATTCCTTCCCCCTACTTCCTTCCCCCACAAATCCCCTCCCCTCCTTTTCCTCCACTACAATCGTCCTCTTTCCCTACTTTCCTCCATAAAAACCCTTTTCCCCCCACACTCTCTCATCCACTGCAAACGTCCTCTCCACTACAAATCTCATCCCCCGCAATCGTCCCCCTTCCCCTACCCCTTCCCCCTCACTAAATCAATCCCTCCATACTCTCTTCCACTACAATAGTCCCCCTTTTTTACTATTTTTTCTCCTTCACTACAATCAGCCTCTTTCCCCAAATCCTTTCCCCCACAAAAATCAAAACCCCTTTAAATACTCTCTCTTCCACTACAATCAGTCCTCTCCCCCTACTCTCTCCTCCACTACAAACGTCTCTTTCCCCTACCCCTTTTTTACACTACAAAACAGTCCCCCTCCCCTTTTTCCTTTTTCCACTACAATCATCCCCCCACTACTCTCTTCCCCTACCCAAACAATCCTCTCCCCCCTATCTTTTCTTTTCCCCTACAATCAGTCCTCTCCATACTCTCTCTTCCACTAAAAATCAGTTTTCCCCTCCACTACTCCTCTTCCCCTACAATCTTTCCCCCCACTACTCTCTTTTTCCACTTTCAATCAGTCCTCTCCACTACTCTCTCCTACACTACAAACATTTTCCTCCCCCCACTACTCTCTCCTCCCCTACAATCATCCCCCTCCCCTATTTCTCTTCCCTACAAAAAATCCCTCCATACTCCCTTCCACTTCAAACAGTCCTTTTTTTACTACTCTCTCCTTCACTACAATCAGTCCTTTTTCCATTCCCCTTTTTCCCCCCCTAAATCAATCCTCTCCACTACTTCTCTACCACTACAATCATTCCTCTCCACTACTCCCTCCCCCAATACAATCAGTCCTCTCCACTTTTCCCCTTCTTCCATACCCAAACAGTCCTCTACACTACTCCCCTTTCCCTACAAACAGTCCTCTCAAAACACTCTTCCTTTACAATCCGTCCTCCTAATACCCCTCCCCCTCCATACAAACAGTCCCCCCCCCAAATATTCTCTTTCAACTATAATTTTGTTTTTCCACTATTCACTCTTCCCCTTCAATTCCCCTTTTTCTCTCCCTTTCTCTCCTCCATACAATCAGTCCCTTTCCCCTATCAAACTCCTCCCTAAATCAGTCCTCTCCACTAAATTTTTCTTCCCCCATACAATCATTTCCCCCCATACTTATTTCCTCCCTAAAATTTAGTCCCCTCCACTACTCTCCTTTCCTTTCCCCTACAAACAGTTTCCCCTCCACTACTCGTCCTCCACTAAAAATCCCTCCCTTTCCCCTACTCTTTCCACTAAAATTTTTGTGCTCTCCAATACTCCCTCTTCCCTTTCAATCATTCCCCCCACTACTTCTCTCTTTCCCCTACAATCCAAATCCTCTCCACTACTTCCTCCTCCACTGCAATCAGGGCCTCTCCACTACTCCCCTCCTCCCCTACAAACAGTTCTCTCCACAAATCTCCCTCCCCTTTCAAAACAGTTTCCTCTCCTCTAAAACCTCCTCCACTACAACAGTCCTTTCCAAATATCACTCCTCCCCCAACCCGTCCTCCCACTACTCCCCTCCTCCTCTAAAACATTTTTTCCTTACAAATCTCTCCACTAAAAATCAGTCCCCCTCCACTACTCCTTTTCCCCCACTGCAATCAGTCCCCCTTTCCCCTACACTCTCATCCACTGCAATAGTTCTCCACTACCCCTTTTCCCCCACTACAATCAATCCCTCCCATAAATCTCTTCCCCTACAATCATCCTTTTTTTTACTATTTCCCCTTACTACCAAACACCTTTTCCACTAATCTCTCCCCCACTACAACAGTCCCTCCACTATTCTCTTTTTCCACTACAATCGTCCTCCCAATACTCTCTCTTTCCCCAAAAATCAGGCTCTCTACACTCTCTCTTCCCTACAACTTTTCCCCTCCCCCTAATCTCTCCTACAATACAAAACATCCCCCTTCCATACTCAAATAATTTTCCCCCACAATGGTTTCCCCTCCACTACTCTCTCTTCCCCTACAATCAGCCCCCCTCCACTACTTTCTTCCACTACAATCAATCCTTTTTCCCCTACTCTCTTCAAATTTCAAATCAGCCCCTTTCCCCTATTCTCTCTTCCAATTACAAACAGTCCTTCCATACACCTTTTCCCCTCAAACAGTCCCTCCCTACTCTCTCTTTTAACTACAATCAGTCCCCCTCCACTACTCTCCCAACAAACAGTCCCCTCCACTATTCCTCTTCCATAAATCAGTCCTCTCCACTATTCCCTCTTCCATACAAACAGTCCCTCTCCAATAATTTTCTTTCACTACAATCAGTCCTCTACACTACTTCCCCTCCCCCACCTTTCAAACAGCCTCTCCCCGACTCTCTCCGCACTGCAATTAGTCCTTCCCCTACTCCCCTTTTCCCCTACAATCAGTTTTTCTGCACTATTCTTTTTTCCCAAATACAATTTAGTCCTCTCCCCCTACTTCCCTACAATTTAGGGCTTCCCAAATACTTCCCCTTTCCCCCACTACAAACGGGCACCCCCTTTCCCCTACCCCCTCCCTAGTCTCTTCCCCACAAAATTTTTTTTCCCCTCCACTACTCTCTCTTCCCCCTACCCAAATTTTCCTTCCACACTCCCCCCTTCCACTACAATCAGCCTTTTGCATATTCTTTGTTCCACCTACCCCAAACCCCGTTCTCCACTACTTCCACTAAAAATCAGTCCTTTTCCAAATATTTTCTTCCACTACAATTAACCTCTCCACTACTCTCCCCTTCCATACAATCATCCTCTCCCCTACTTCCCCTCCACTAAAAACAGGGCCCCTCCCTAGTCTCCCTTCCCCCCAAAAAAAATTAGTCCTTTTCCACTTTCTCCCCCTTCCACTACAAATCAGTCCCCCTCCACTACTCCCTCCCCTAAAATCATCCCCTCCATAGTCTTTCCACTACAATTAGTTCCCCCTCCCCAAATACTCTCTCTTCCCCTACAATCCCTCCTCTCCACTACTCTCCTCCAATAAAATTTAGTCCCCCTCCCTAGGTTCCCCTTCCCAACAATTATTCCCCCCATACCCCTCTTCCCCCTTTCCCCTACAATCAGTCTTTTCCACTACATTCCCTCCATAAAAACCAAAACCCTGCATTACTCCCCCCTTTACTACAAACAGTCCCTCCACTACCCAAAAAAATCCCCCCATAACCCCCTCTCCCTTAAAACAGTTCCCCCCCCACCTCTTCTCTACTAAATCAGTCCTCTCCATACCCGTCTCCCTCCCCTACAATCAGTCCTCTCTACTACTTTTCTCCTCCCCTACAATTTAGGGCCCTTCCCCTGCTTTTCCTCCCTTTCAATCATCCCCTTTTACAATCTCCTTTCCCCCACTCAATCAGTCCCTCTCCCCAAATCTCTTCCACAATAATCAGTCCTCTCCACTATTCTCTCTTCCACTACAATCAGTCCTCTCCACTACTCTCTTACACAATAATCAGTCCTCTCCACTATTCTCTCTTCCACTACAATCAGTCCTCTCCACTACTCTCTCTTCCACTACAATCAGTCCTCTCCACTACTCTCTCCTCCACTACAATCAGTCCTCTCCACTACTCTCTCCTCCACTACAATCAGTTCTCTCCACTACTCTCTCCTCCTCTACAATCAGTCCTCTCCTCTACACTCTCCTCCACTACAATCAGTCCTCTCCACTACTCTCTCCTCCACTACAACCAGTCCTCTCCACTACTCTTCAT